GTTCATTGAAGAATTGTCAAATATGTGCGTTAATTTCTTTCAAAAAAAAAAAAAAAAAAAAATACGTTTGATTTTGTATATCGACGGAGTGGGGTGTTTTAAATGGTGCAATATTTGGGGATTTTTCATTATTAATCGGGATTTTTATCAAATATAAATTTTATAGAAAAAAATTTAACATAACCTGAACAGTAGTCTATAGTGTGGACTATAGTTTAGTCTATAGTCTGGACTACAGTTTAGTCTATAGTCTGGACTATAGTCTAGTCTGTAATCTGGAATGTGGTATAGTCAATAGTCTGGACTATAGTTTAGTCTATAGTCTAGTGCAGTTTTAATGTAGTCTGCTCTTTAGTTTAGTACATAGTCCAGCCAATTTATAGTCTAGTCCATAGTCGGGACTGTAGTATACTGTAGACTAATCTTGTCTATTGTCGAGTTTATAGTCTAGTCTATAGTCCAGTTTATAGTCTGTATATAGTATAGTCTATAGTCTTCTCTATATTCTATTATATAGTTTAGTTTATATTCTATTCTATAGTCTAGTCTATCGTCTAGTCTATAGTCTGGTCTATAGTCTGGTCTATAGTCTGGTCTATAGTCTAGTCTATAATCTAGTCTATAGTCTAGTCTATAGTCTAGTCTATAGTCTAGTCTATAGTCTAGTCTATAGTCTAGTCTATAGTCTAGTCTATAGTCTAGTCTATAGTCTAGTCTATAGTCTAGTCTATAGTCTAGTCTATAGTCTAGTCTATAGTCTAGTCTATAGTCTAGTCTATAGTCTAGTCTATAGTCTAGTCTATAGTCTAGTCTATAGTCTAGTCTATAGTCTAGTCTATTGTCTAGTCTATACTCTAGTCTATAGTCTAGTCTATAGTCTGGTCTAGTCTATAGTCTGGTCTAGTCTATAGTCTGGTCTAGTCTATAGTCTGGTCTAGTCTATAGTCTGGTCTAGTCTATAGTCTAGTCTATAGTCTAGTATAGTCTAGTCTATAGTCTAGTCTAAGTCTAGTCTATAGTCTAGTCTAGTCTATAGTCTGGTCTAGTCTATAGTCTGGTCTAGTCTATAGTCTGGTCTAGTCTATAGTCTGGTCTAGTCTATAGTCTAGTCTAGTCTAGTCTATAGTCTGGTCTATAGTCTAGTCTATAGTCTAGTCTATAGTCTAGTCTATAGTCTAGTCTATAGTCTAGTATATAGTCTAGTCTAGTCTATAGTCTAGTCTAGTCTATAGTCTGGTCTAGTCTATAGTCTGGTCTAGTCTATAGTCTGGTCTAGTCTATAGTCTGGTCTAGTCTATAGTCTGGTCTAGTCTATAGTCTGGTCTAGTCTATAGTCTAGTCTAGTCTATAGTCTAGTCTATAGTCTAGTCTATAGTCTAGTCTATAGTCTAGTCTATAGTCTAGTCTATAGTCTAGTCTAGTCTATAGTCTAGTCTATAGTCTAGTCTATAGTCTAGTCTATAGTCTAGTCTATAGTCTAGTCTATAGTCTAGTCTATAGTCTAGTCTATGTCTAGTCTATAGTCAGTCTATGTCTAGTCTATAGTCTAGTTATAGTCTAGTCTATATAGTCTAGTCTATAGTCTAGTCTATAGTCTAGTCTATATCTAGTCTATAGTCTAGTCTATAGTCTGTCTATAGTCTAGTCTATAGTCTAGTCTATAGTTAGCTATAGTCTATAGTCTAGTCTATAGTCTAGTCTATAGTCTAGTCTATAGTCTAGTCATAGTTAGTCTATAGTCTAGTCTATAGTCTAGTCTATAGTCTATCTATAGTCTAGTCTATAGTCTAGTCTATAGTCTACTCTATAGTCTAGGTCTATCGTCTAGTCCTATAGTCTAGTCTATAGTCTAGTACTATAGTCTAGTCTATAGTCTAGTCTATAGTATAGCCTATAGTCTAGTCTATAGTCTAGTCTATAGTCTAGTCTATAGTCTAGTTCCTAGTCTATAGTCTAGTCTATAGTCTAGTCTATAGTCTAGTCTATAGTCTAGTCTATAGTCTAGTCTATAGTCTAGTCTATAGTCTAGTCTATTGTCTAGTCTATAGTCTAGTCTATAGTCTAGTCTATAGTCTAGTCTATAGTCTAGTCTATAGTCTAGTCTATAGTCTAGTCTATAGTCTAGTCTATAGTCTAGTCTATAGTCTAGTCTATAGTCTAGTCTATAGTCTAGTCTATAGTCTAGTCTATAGTCTAGTCTATAGTCTAGTCTATAGTCTAGTCTATAGTCTAGTCTATAGTCTAGTCTATAGTATAGTATATAGTCTAGTCTAGTCTATAGTCTAGTCTATAGTCTAGTCTATAGTCTAGTCTATAGTCTAGTCTATAGTCTAGTCTATAGTCTTGTCTATAGTCTAGTCTATAGTCTAGTCTATAGTCTAGTCTATAGTCTAGTCTATAGTCTAGTCTATAGTCTAGTCTATAGTCTAGTCTAGTCTATAGTCTAGTCTATAGTCTAGTCTATAGTCTAGTCTATAGTCTAGTCTATAGTCTAGTCTATAGTCTAGTCTATAGTCTAGTCTATAGTCTAGTCTATAGTCTAGTCTATAGTCTAATCTATAGTCTAATCTATAGTCTAATCTATAGTCTAGTCTATAGTCTAGTCTATAGTCTAGTCTATAGTCTAGTCTATAGTCTATTCCATAGTCTAGTCTATAGTCTAGTCTATAGTCTAGTCTATAGTCTAGTATATAGTCTAGTCTATAGTCTAGTCTATAGTCTAGTCTATAGTCTAGTCTATAGTCTAGTCTATAGTCTAGTCTATAGTCTAGTCTATAGTCTAGTCTATAGTCTATAGTCTAGTCTATAGTCTAGTCTATAGTCTAGTCTATAGTCTAGTCTATAGTCTAGTCTATAGACTAGACTAGTCTAGACTATAGACTAGACTAGTCTAGACTAGTCTAGACTAGTCTAGTCTAGTCTAGACTAGTCTAGTCTATAGTCTAGTCTATAGTCTAGTCTATAGTCTAGTCTAGACTAGTCTAGTCTATAGTCTAGTCTAGACTAGTCTAGTCTATAGTCTAGTCTATAGTCTAGTCTATAGTCTAGTCTATAGTCTAGTCTATAGTCTAGTCTATAGTCTAGTCTTTTGTCTAGTCTACAGTCTAGTCTATAGTCTAGTCTATAGTCTAGTCTATAGTCTAGTCTTTAGTCTAGTCTATAGTCTAGTCTATAGTCTAGTCTATAGTCTAGTCTATAGTCTAGTCTATAGTCTAGTCTATAGTCTAGTCTATAGTCTAGTCTATAGTCTAGTCTGTAATCTAGTCTATAGTCTAGTCTATAGTCTAGTCTATAGTCTAATCTGTAGGTCTAATCTATAGTCTAATCTATAGTCTAGTCTATAGTCTAATCTATAGTCTAGTCTATAGTCTAGTCTATAGTCTGGTCTAGTCTATAGTCTAGTCTATAGTCTAGTCTATAGTCTAGTCTATAGTCTAGTCTATAGTCTAGTCTATAGTCTAGTCTATAGTCTAGTCTATAGTCTAGTCTATAGTCTAGTCTATAGTCTAGTCTATAGTCTAGTCTTTTGTCTAGTCTACAGTCTAGTCTATAGTCTAGTCTATAGTCTAGTCTATAGTCTAGTCTATAGTCTATTCTATAGTCTAGTCTATAGTCTAGTCTATAGTCTAGTCTATAGTCTAGTCTATAGTCTAGTCTATAGTCTAGTCTATAGTCTAGTCTATAGTCTAGTCTATAGTCCTAGTCTATAGTCTAGTCTATAGTCTAGTCTATAGTCTAGTCTATAGTCTAGTCTATAGTCTAGTCTATAGTCTAGTCTATAGTCTAGTCTATAGTCTAGTCTATAGTCTAGTCTATAGTCTAGTCTATAGTCTAGTCTATAGTCTAGTCTATAGTCTAGTCTATAGTCTAGTCTATAGTCTAGTCTATAGTCTAGTCTATAGTCTAGTCTAGTCTAGTCTATAGTCTAGTCTATAGTCTAGTCTATAGTCTAGTCTAGTCTAGTCTATAGTCTAGTCTATAGTCTAGTCTATAATCTAGTCTATAGTCTGGACTATAGTCTAGTCTATAGTATAGTCTGTAGTATAGTATAGTCTGTAGTATAGTATAGTCTATAGTCTGGACTATAGTTTATTCTATATTTTGCGCTATAGTTTAGTTTATAGTTTGGCCTATAATTCAGTCCATAGTCTGAACCATAGTTTAGTCTATAGTCTGGACTATATAAATAGTCTATAACCTATAATCTGAAATATATTCTATAGAATGATGTCTTAACAAAACACTTTTCTAAAAAATTTCATCATTCCAAATGTCGTCACATGTTTTTGCAAAATTTTAAAATTATTAAAACATATTTTTTTATGATTCGTTTTTTTTTTTTTTCATAAACAAAAACATTTCAAAATTGATTCATGTCTGTTGATTCATAAACAACATACATATTTTGCCATTAGCTTAATGTTGTTTACTTTTAGCAAACATTTTTTCTTTTAAATTCAAAACTGAAAAAAATATTTGTATTTTGACAAAAAAAAATTTATCTTAGATCTTAACGATTGTTGACTATATATTTTTATCTTGGCTAACAATAGAATTATGTTGGCGTAAGTTTAAAAATATCTACAACAAAATAAATAAACAAATAAAACACAGATTTTTTTAATTAATATTGAGATCAAATTATTTATATTTCTTTTTTTTTCAAATGATATTTTTTCTTTTTTTTTTTTTTCTTTTGCATAAACTTTTTTCAAAAACAACTTAATTTCATAATAAATTTTTAATTTTTCACAAGGGCGGGTGTTTAGGGTTTTAACTTAATTTATATAATAAACATTTCTTTTATGATTTTTAAAAAAATTTAAGGGTGGAAGAACTTTATAGGCATTTTTTTAGAAGGAAGATTAATTACAACAAAAATTATAAAAGGCATTAAGAGTTATAACAAAATTGTACTAAAAAATTATAAAAAAATTCAACAATTTAATTAATTTACTAAGATTTTTTTAAAAAACTATAGGAAAAAAACACTTTTTTTGGGGGGAAAAAAGTGTAAACTGGTAACTTGGAAGGGCGGGGGATTGGAAAAAGACACACTTAAGGCCTTTAGCCTATGTTTAAGGTGTCCAACAGACAGTCTTACACTCTCTCACTTAGAAGGTGGGTTTTCAAGGAGTTGAGTTTCTTAAGAAAGAAACGAAGAAGGCGTTGGCGAAACAGCAATGACATTAACCCGTGGCTAGGAGCTGACGTTTTGTTTAGTTGGAGGAGAACTTTGACCCTTTTTGATTTAACGAAGAGCAACTATAACAACGAAGCTAGCGCGCCAGCGCTTAAAAAAGATTACAAGAGTCTTTAGCTTCGAGCATAAGCTACAAACTTATGCTGGCTGCTTAGTGTTGAGAAAGACAACACCAGGGTCAACCCATTTCAGCATAAGAATCATTAACATAATTCAGACTTAAGGTACTGCAGGAATAATCCAAAGGCTGTACGCCATCATCTTCCACAATATCCATACAATCCATTGCATCATTGTCGCTCAGACAATCATCCTCATCATCGGGTATGGCCACATCAACGGGTATATACATATGGAAGGGTTTTTGTTCTTTTAACCAGGGTGAGAGGAAGATATGCTCTATGGGCACACGATCAGAAATGTTTTTCCTTAGTAAAGATAATAAAAGCCAGCGGGCGGAACGTGATAGATGACCGGGTAGTTGTACAAAACATTGTCTAATAATGGTAATGAGATTGCTATTGCCTTTCTCGAAGAAAGGATATTGACCCACCAACATGGTGTAGAGTATTACACCCAAAGCCCACATATCAGCAGGTTTGCCTTTATAGGTGGGTTCTGGGCAGAGTAATTCGGGGGCGGTGTATAGAGGGCAGCCAATTTTTTCACTTAAAGTATCATCCTCAGGATTATCCAGGATCATGGAACCTTCTAGAGATTCATATTGAAGTTTGGTTCTAAAAAGGGAAAAGAAAATTGAGAAAAAAATTAGTAATTTATTAAAGAAAAGAAAAAATAATAAGAATATTTAAGTTTTGCCAAGAAAATTAAAGAAACTAGTTAAAAAAAGAAGTTATTCTTACAAAATTTTAAAGAAAAAAATTGCTTAAAACTTTAGTAAAGAGTAAACTAGAGTTTTTAAGAGAATGCTAGCTGACAACTTGACCTCATTTGTTGTAATTTGAAAAAAAAAAAAAAACTAACAGCCGCAACAATTGTAATTGAACTTTTTGTATAAATTCTAATAACTCCATGTTAAAAAATATAAAAAAAAATCTTTAAAAAAGATACAGACAGTTAGCTAAAGCTAAAATAACGCCCATACAAAACATACTTGGTTGGCGGCGCGGTTCACTTAAAACCAGCAGCATGTTGTAATAAATTCATTGCCAGCAAGATGTGTTTGAATTACAAACAAAAAAAAAAAAACAATCCAAACTAAACAAATTAAATGCTGTATAGTATTTCCAAAAAAATACAGCAGAGCAACACCCAAAAGCTTCACAGCAACAGCAGCAATAACAAAAACAAGCAATTTCAACAAGTATTACAACAATATAAGCACTATAATAATAATAAAACAAAAACACAATAAGAAACCTCGAACTGACCCTGATATCAATACAATTTACATACATAAACATAAAAACTACAACAAATACAAAAATATATAAAGAAGAAGAGCCATCAAACAGCAACAAAACCAAAATAAAGTTTTTTTTTGTATGTGTTGTGTTCAAAAAAAAAAAAAAAGAGCAAAAAGAGTTGTAAAGCAAAGAAGAAGCATAAAATTATATTTTAAAAGATAAACTACAATTACAAATATATGACCTCGCAAATTTTTTTTTAATTTTCTTGATTTTTTCCAAAAAAAAATCACCCTGAATGAGGCAAGTAGTAAATTACTTGAAAAAAATGTCAATAAACAAAAAGGAGTTGCCATATTAATGTTAAAAGTATGTTAAACAAGTTGTCATATGGCAGCTTGTTAATTAACAGTAAACAACAAAAGTGTTGCATAGAAGAGGGAGAGAGAGCGAGGGGGGATGAGAAAATTAAGCAGTAAATGTAAACAAACCCATGAAAACACCGTTTTCAAGGTAAAATATGAAAGAATTTTATAAATTAAGGAAATTTTTTAAAGAATTTGCTTAAAATACAAAGAATTAACAGAAATTTGAATGAAACATAAAGAATTTATATAAAATAAAGGAAATATTGTATTAAATAGAACATTTAAAGAAAAAATTGCCACAACAAAACATAATATAAAAAAATTCCTAGAAAATTTCAAAAATTAAAAAAAAAAAAAAAAAAAAAAAACAATAAAATTTGCACAATTTTAATAAAAAAAAAATGGAAAACTTTAAGAAAAATTATAAAAGAAAAACTAAAATATTTTTAAAAAATATTGGAAAATTTAATAATATTTCAAGAAAAAGAGATATAAAAATATAACAATAACAATTTATAAAAAAAGAGAACAAAATTATTGCTTTGTGTAAAATATTGAAAATATTATACAATTATAAAGAAAATAAATGAAAACAAAGAAATTTTTTTAAAAAAAGCACATTTTAATTATTACTCATACCATTTAAGGTCAAAACTTATGAGCAATTATAAATTAATTTCACAATTTTGAAATTTATGGAATAAAAAGAAAAAAAATTATAAATAAATTTTGTATTTTTAAAGAAAATTTCACAATTATTAATAAAAATTAAAAAAAATGTTTTAATTTGTTTTCATTTTAAATAATTAAAAAAAAAAATAACAGTATCGAAATTGATAACAAAAATGTTTTAATTTTTTAAAATTAAATAGGAAAAATTCACAATTTTTAGAAAATTTTAAAAATGTTTTGAATTTTGTTAATGTTATAGCAAGTATTTTAATTTTTTTTTAAAGCGATTAAAATTTTCAGATTTTAAGAATATTTAAAAAGTAAAATGTTGATTACTTTTAAGAACTTTAAATTAAAAAGAAAAATGATTAAATCGTTCCAAGTTTTTGCAAAATATTTAAACATTTTATAAAATTTTATCAAATTCTTTGAAAATATTTCATCATTTTAGCAAATAATTGTTAAAAGTAACATGATTTAGCGAAATTTCAATAAATGCAAAATAATTAGATAAAAACTCTACTAAGAATTTCATAATTTTTGAAATTAAAAAACAATATGAAAAAAGAATCATAGTTTTAAGAAAATCAATCAAAATTTAAAAAAATTCTTATTTTTTCTGAAATTCTATAAGTTTTGTCATATTTTATTTTCTCTTAGGAAATGGTGTTGTCAGAAAATTAAATGTATTTGGCACAAATTTATTGTATTTAGTAATTCTTGCGGATATATACTAGAAATAAATAAATATTGTTTATATAGAAGCTTTTCATGTATCACATGAAATTAGAAATACAAATTTTGTATTAATTTTTTCTCAGGGTCATAGGCAATATGTTCAATGACCTTAACATTCTTTCAAAAAAAAAATTAATTTGATCATAATGATGATGACATTATTAAAAAATGATTAGATTAAACAAAAAAAGAGAACTGGAATAAAGCCGAAACAAAAATTAAGCAATATATTTAAAAAAATTTAATTAAAAAAAACTTGAAAATAATGAAAAAAAAAATTTAGTTTTTTACTTAAAAATTTTAAGTAAGATAATAGTGAGTAACAAAAATTTCAAATTTATCAAAATGCGAGGCTGTTAGTTAAGTAAACTAAAAAATTTTATAACAAATAATGATTGCTACACTTTTGAAAATAAATATCAAAAAAAAAATTATTAATGAAAAAAGCCAAAAATTACACAATTGTCAAAATAACAACAAAAAAAATTACCCAACTAAAAATCAATACGAGGTTAAAGATTTTTAAGTTAAGAGTATTTAAAAAAGAAAAAAATTCCCCAAAAGGAAAATTTTATAAAATTATTAAAGTAATTTACAAAATTCTTAGAAATTAATAAAAAATAAGTTAATTTTCAATGAGTAAGCGGAAATATTTAATAAAAAAAATTAAATAAATTACTTTAAAAAACAAATTAATTAAAAAAAAACTGTTTAGAAATAAGAGAGAAAAAACTTAAAATTACGCTCTCATTGTATTATTAATAATGGGAGAAGAGCGTATTGTTTGTAATTGTATTACAAATTTATTACAACTCTTTGGTAAATCTCTCAATTTTAAATTTTTCTCTCCCAAAAATTATATGCAACAAGCTGTTAAATTGTTTGGTAATAAAAACTACAAACTGCAATTTTGCAGCCGTTTACAATTTTGAAAATTTATTTTTTTGTTGTAACAGAATCAAGTTTTTTTGATTTTGCGGGTGTCAAAAGACTTCGTCATCATCAGCGTATAAGTGTTAATATTAAAAAATTTTGTAGGGGATTCTCTGTGTTAATTTTTTTTTGGCTTTTTTTAATTTTGTTTATTTTGTAATTGTTGGCCCTCAGAGCATTTTGGTTTAAAAAGTAGTGTTGGTGGTAGTAGTTTTCTGTGTGTTTTTGTTTGGTGGCGTAAAAAATTTTTGTTGTGTTAAGTATTTCATTGTATTGATTTCAAAATTATTTTGGTTTGAAAATACTACGTTCAATGTTACTTGCAAATGTTGCCATAACAACAAATGGTTGAAGTTTTTTTTTTTTTCAAATTTTGTTGAGAAAAAAACTTGAAAAACAGTTGGTAACAAAAAGATTTTTAAGAGTTGTTTAAAGGGAAATAGAGGAAAATTTTTGTAAAGATTATAGGGGTAATTTTGTTAGTAATTAACTGTACTTTATTTTTCTAATAGGAATTATGGAAATAAGTTTAATGATTTCAAAAGAAATTTTTTTTAATTTTCTTAACATTTTTGGAAATTTTTTTAAAATTTTCTTAAAATTTTATAATTTTTCTTTTATTTTTTAAATTTTTTAAAAATGTTCTTGAATTTTTCAATAATTTCTTAAATTTTTCAAAAATTTTCGTGAAATATTTTATAATTTTTTTTAAATTTTTTAGATTTACGTTCAACTTTTTGAAATTTACTTTAAAGTTTTCGTATTTTTTTTTCTAAAAATTTGATTTGGTAAACAATTTTATTTGTTTCTTTATAATTTTTTTTTTTTTTTTAATTTCTTAATTTTTTTTTAATTTTCAAATTTTTTTTAATTTTTTTTTTTTTTTTCTTGAATTTTTATTTTTTTTTTTTTTTTTTTTTTTTTTTATTTTTTTCATTTTTGATTTTTTTTTTTTTCAAATTTTAAAAATTTTTCATTATTCAAATTTTATTTTATTGAAATTTAAGAAAAAATTCTATCAAAATTATATATTTTTCTTCTTAAATTCCATATTTTTTGAATTTATTCCTTTTTCTACACAATTTCAACTATTTCTATTTAAATTTACAAACATTTTTCAAATTTCCTTTTTAATGCTTTAAGCTTAATTTTATGTAAATTTAACAAAGTCCTATTAATTTTTTAAAATTTCCTACAATTTAATAAAATTTTTCCAGAATTCTTTTAATAAATCTACAAATTTCCTGATTTTTCGCTTCATTTTGCCTGACACTGTTGATTTCATTATTTACTTGTTGAAATTGTTGTTGCTTGGTTGTATATTTTTTGCTTTTGTTTTGCTTTTTTGAAGTTTTTTTTTATCTCTCAATGTTTGTGTGTTAATGGCAATAACTAGTTTCGTTGTTGTTTTTGTTGCCATTATTGCTAATATTGCCATACTACAATTATGTTGTAAAAAAAGTAAAACATGTCATATTTTTTGATTGAGAAAATGACGGTTTGTCAGTATTAGTGAGTGTGAGTTGTTTACTTTACACTTTTTTTTGCTCTTTATTTTGCAGAGCTGAGAATATTAGTAGTTTTGTAAAAGGTAAAGGTATGTTTTCTTTAGTGAGGGTTTTTTGTATTGTTTTATAAGGAT